GCAATCATACATACCTTATGCCATAGGTCCTGGTTGGGAGCATCATGGCTTGTGAAACAAAGACGTATCTGCTCCTAGGAGCTTTTTTTTTTTTTTTTTTTGGTTTTCTGTGACAGAAATGTCCTCTGACCAGAAGAGAACCAAATTTGAGTATAACAGAAGTAGTATAGACTCCTGGAAATTACCGCTGGAATTTAGCTTGGGGAGCTCAAACTACTACATGAGAAACTACTCTATAAGAAATTCCAGATGACAGGAATAGTAGCTATTCTGAACACAAGTTTTCATTAGGCATCAGAGCCTAATCAGTTATATTTATATATGTAAGTGCAATATCCCTGAATCAGAAAGAGAGCACTCAGTACCAGGAAAGTGAAAAGTATTGTGAAGTTGCTCCCATGGTATAAACATGCAGAGTAAAGTGCCTATTAAAAATGCAACCTGGTTAAATGAGTCTCAGTCATGACTTACAAGGTAATTTACCATGTTGCCTTTTCCACCTTAGTTATTGAATTTTTATAATACTTCTCTGTTATTGATCAGTTGTTACAGATTTTCTTATGAAGCAGAAGCAGAACATAGATATTTGGCACATATTCTACCTTACCTATCCCTATTGTACCTCTGCTTTATTTAAATTGTCTACTAACGTTGAAAGAATAAAGTGCAGCTCTAAAAGCCCATGATATAGTATTTTTCCACTCCTTGATATGTTCTTCTGTAAAATATTAGCCATCAAAGGGAATTTTGGGTGAGAATCTATTGAAAAGGTGTCCTAGTAGTTTTCTTATTGCTTGGGAATGCTTTCTATCCCTTGAGAAATTTCCACTAAGCATATGGGCTGTTCTAGTGAAGACAGGAAGATGAAATTAAAAATAAAAGCTAGCTGTAGATTATTGTAAAAAATAGAGAGGTCCTGAAAAGATTATAAATTATTTTATACAGTGAGCAGTGTTATTTCTGACAGCCATCTCTATAATATTCCTTCAATTTTGCAACATAATAGGGCATTTACACAAGATGCTTATGGTGGAGTTGCCTAATTAGCTCCACAGTAAAGTGTCACTGTCTACACGTGTGGAGCTATTAGGTTGGAGTATAGTAATTAACTAGTTAATAAACATAGTTTACTACTGCCCGACACAAGTACTGTCCTATGGAGGAGTTGTTTATTCCACTGCAATGCACATATAGATGGTGACCAGGGCTGGCTGAGGCATGAGGGTGCTATACTGCAGGGGCTGCCTGCTGGCTAGCCCCATATTGTAGCACCCTTGTGCCACATCCAGCCTGGCTTAACATGCTGTGATGCTTGGAGCACATGTAAATGTTGAGCCCAGGAGCGATAAACTCCAATGTGATCTACACCTGAGTTTATTCTGTTGCACTAATTTCACTTGTAGATGCACCCACAGCATATATAAAAAGAAAACAGGATCTTCTAAAACTGACCATGTTGTATTGTTTATTCAGTTAGACATTCACATTTACCAAAGCTTGTATTCTTCCTTGTGTAAGTACTGATCACTCCCCATAATGTGCAACAAAAAATGCATAGTTTAAGAATATGAGGACCATTCAGAAAGTACTATATTTACTTAAATACCAACACACCTTTTCCCCAAAAATTAGAATTCCAGAATTGGGGTGCATTTTAAGCAGGGATGGCCATTGTCTGCCCAGAAAAAAAACATGGAGAGGCTGTAAAATGACTGCTGTTTCTGTCCCTTCTCTCCAGAAAAGGGAAGGGAGGGGTGGAGTCCAGAAGGGGCAGAACCATCTGTGGTGCAGATCACACCCTGGCTGGATTTTCTGCTTCATGAGAAGTTTCAAACTAGCTGCAGCAGTGGCATTTCTATTCAGGCAGTCCTGAGAGTCAACTGATTTCATGGCTCATTATAATCTACCTGATTCCTACCAATTGCTCTTTAGGTGCTAATGACTCTCTGTTCTTTTTTAATAGTCTTGAAGTTCCATTAATCAGGCTAAAACTGTAGCTGTTTCTTGAGCAGGAAAGGGAGGGGTGAGTTAGTTGAACATCAGGCTTTATCCCTGCTCTATGCAGCCACAATTTTTGCTTCATTCTGTGTTCCCAAAAACAAGGTGCATGTCTTATTTGAGGATGTGTGGCATGCAAGAAGATATGGGAACACTTCTTGTTTTTTATCTCCTAAGCAAGCCATGAACATGGAAAATGTTATTCTTGGTGATTTCATACCTAAGGCAGCTACAGAAAACTCAGAGGTCCACAGCAAGACACTGAAAAAGCCAAACCAACTCATGCAAAGAGTCTGTACTGACAGAGACATGTCTGAGGTACTTCTGCACAATAACAGCTTATCTACACTAGTTTGTGTGCCACAGATGCAATTTCATCATTTGGATGGCCTATGCTGCCATCTACTCTATACAGTCCTTAGGATGAAGGATGGCCTATTTCAAAGAAAGATACACTTGCACTACTCTAAGCAGAGCAAGATGGAATCTGCAGTTACGGCTGTTGATAAATAGCAAATGGAGCTGTTGAAATTCATTCTGTAAACCTGACTGATTCCTAGTGAAACTCAACAACAGGACATCATCTGCTTACCAAAGAGGGGACAATTGGCAACCAGGGTGGATTAATAGGTCTAGCACCAAAGCTAGGCCATTCCAACTTGTGTCACAAACAGATACTCAATATGAACATAGACCACCAGTCCAGAAAAAAACTGTAGTCCTAATAGGAGCACATAAAATAATGCAGAGGCATGTGATGACAAATGTTAAGCAAACATGTATCATGCTGTAAATTAAGAAATGTATTTAAGACACATTGCAAAGAGCTGCCTGGTGATTGTGTCATTCAAGGAATGGATACCACATTTACACCAGTATAACTTACATGGGTTTCTTCACCAGTGTAAATTATGCTAGTATCTGGAGCAGGCAAAACAAGCAATTTCTAGGTTAGCTGCTCATAGACAGTTATTGCAGTGTCTTGCCCTGCTATAGCAGGGGAGCAGATAGCCTGTTTGCATCTAGCAAATTGCTATCTCAAAATAAGCTGCAGGTACATAACATGCATGCTGGTGTAACTTATTGTGGTGATGTTTTATCCTTGATTGTTTTCCTGGGATAGTTCTACTCCAGACTGAAGTAAGCTGGAGCATTGGGCCATGCATCATATGTCTATACTTTCTTCACTTTCTTACACTGGTGTAAAATCTTATCAAGCCTGTGTAAATGTTTTGTGTGTGCCCTCAAGTTCACAATAATTAATAATTGGAGCACCTACTGAACTGTGACATTATAGCTGCTTCAGACAGTGCTGCCAAACCTGCATGCCTCAGGACTTTTCAACACTGATAAGATAGCATATATTGCTCTAACTTCACTCTAGTACAAGTTGGACATCAGCTGCTTTGTGATGACTGGCTTAGGCTATGAAATCCTTCTTTCAGATAAGGAGCTGGATTAGAATTCCACCAGAATTCCCAGAAGAGCTGCTAATAGACCATCAATTAAATAACAATTGCCAGCATTGGGTTTTGAAACTTAGTGGTGATGTTTATGCCTCTTTCACAGCAGCTATAACCAGACAAGTGCTGTAAAACAATATGGTATCAAATCAAGACCACATCAGTTTGGAAATTCTTTAAACCATATAGACTAAAAATGATTTTTTTTTAAAAGAGAGAGATAAATTAAAATTGAAATGTTAAGGAAACTAACAAAGCCCTGAATGCTATACTGGCCAGTAATGACTCTGACTACCACCTGTTCATGACCATAGCACCTATTGAAATATTTATATCATAGAATCATCGAATCATAGAAAGCTAGGGTTGGAAGGGACCTCAGGAGGTCATCTAGTCCAACCACCTGCTCAAGCAGGACCATCCCCAACTAGATCATCCTGGCCAAAGCTTTGTCTAGCCAGGTCTTGAAAACCTCCAAGGATGGAGATTCCACCACCTCTCTGGGTAACCTGTTCCAGTGTTTTACTACCCTCCTGGTGAGAAAATCCTTCCTAATATCTAACCTAAACTTCCCTTGCTGCAACTTGAGACCATTGCCCCTTGTCCTGTCATCTGCCACCACAGACAACAGTCTACATCCATCCTTTTTTGAGCCCCCCTTCAGGTAGTTGAAAGCTGCTGTTAAATCCCCTCTCACTGTTCTCTTCTCTAGACTAAATAAGCCCAGTTCCCTCAGTCATGTCCCCCAGTCCTTTCACCATTTTTGTTTCCCTCCACTGGACCTTCTCCAATTTGTCCACATCCTTTCTGTAGTGGAGGGCCCAAAACTGGACATACTCCATATGTGGTCTCACCAGTGCTGAATAGAGAGGAATAATCACTTCCCTTGATCTCCTGGCAACACACCTACCAATGCCTCCCAGGATGTCATTAGCCTTCTTGGAAAGAAAGGCACACTGCTGGCTCATTTTCAGTTTATTGTCCACTGTAATCACCAGATCCTTGAGTGCTAGGGCTGAATATTGCTGCCTATTACTCTTCTATGTCTCTGTATTTGACTGTATACTAGTGCATCATTGCTAATATAAATTAGATACATTTTTCCATATGTGACACAAAATTCTCTCTTCTTTGTTCTGCCCCATCACAATCCCGAAGATCAGCTGACAGCAACCTCTTACTTGTACCATCAGTTTACTACTTTGTTTGGTGAAAACATGTGGGAGGTCATTCTTGGTAATCGCTCCTCAGCTTTAGGATCCCCTCCCCCTTGAAGCCCTCCAGAGCCCAAGCCAGGACATCTTTCAGAAATGGTGTAAAACCTTCCTATTTATGCAGGCATTGAACAAGCCAGGCTAGACTGAGACATTGTTTAAGGAGCTTTTGTTTCATATTCTGTTCCATTTGCCTTTATATTTTGTTTCTGTCTCTTACTATAAACTGCACTGAGCCTTCTTGGGAAGGGTGGGATATAAACCTAAAGAATAAATGAATAAATAAATAAAGTTTTTCTGTTTCCCATCTCTCTCTGAATTGCAGAAAGGACTAGAGAATCAAACCAGCACATCTACTAAAAAGTCTGGAAACATCTGAGTGAGTATACATGTCTTCAAAATTGCCAATTTACTTTTTTCAGTAACAATTCAGGATAGCAGAAGTATTCCCCACACTGTGTATTATATAGACAAAATATGTGCAGGTGTGAAACACATCTGTAATTATATGATAATTTATTAAAACATATTTAATATTTTGATCCCTGGTATAATTTGTAAGGAGCAAACACTGAATAAATGTACTTACGATTTAATTTTTCCCTTATGACTTTGTGTAGGAAATGAGCGGACATCTGTTTGAATACATCTCAGTTTTCTCTTGACCTTTATTGCACTTTATTGAAACATCCTAATTAAGCCTGTTCATCCTCTTCTCCTCTGCCTCAAACCCAAATTCAGTTCATTAGGCATACAAATGAAATTGGTGTTACAGAGATTAAGTGTAACCTTTTATTTTTGGTATTAATTCATTCTTACAACGAATCACAGAGGGTGCCTATAGATGTGCAGCAGGACTGCTTTGACACACTGTAATTACAGCCTGTCAGAGTAGACTCAATTAATCGAGTCTGCTAGAGTATGGCAATTACCGTGCTCCAGCAGACTCCAGTGTCACATGTATCACCATCCCCACACTGCCGTGGACTCAGTACTAGCCAGTTACCCCTCTGAGTTCACCTGAGCCTGAGAAACTTGAAAGTGCTTCTGGGCATGCCATGCACACATGCCAAACAGTAGCAGTACATTCCATTTTTTGGCATTGGTGCACAATAAGCAGGAACAAATGGGCATGTTTGCATGGTGGCATTCCTTAACATGATCAAAGATAATATACACTTGCATCTCTGTTTATAATCTAAAGAGATCAAATTATAGTAACCCCTACATTTTGTGGCAAGAGATTGTTTGCGTAAATGAGCTTTATTATAGTGTTGTGAAAAACTGAACTGAGCAATATTGCATAACCTTGTACAATGACATATAACCACACTCTGTGCAATACAGACCACTGCAAAAAATTAGAAGACACTTTTTAAAATCACTGGGATAAAATAAAAGATACACTACCAATAATAGCATACTCTCTGGGCATGTCAACACATGCATTTGATGCAGGACCACATCTACACATGCAGAGATGTGGCAGCATATTTGCTGCTCTGAGCACCAAACTGCTGTGAAGTCCTGCAGCCTTGCAACAGGCCCCTGCTGCCACCAAAGGGAGCTCCAGACTCCAGCTGCATCTTTATAAAAGCCAGCCCTGCTTGCTGCTCCCTGGCCAGGCACTTCGCTGGCCAGAAGCAGTGTGCACATCACAGGGGCAGCATGCAGCAGTGCTCTCCAGATGCAGCTGGTGAACTCAGACTGGTGGGGCAGTGGAGCGTCCCATGGAAGTGTGTGTTGGGGGGGAGGGGTTCCAGCCGGCCGGGAGTTGGGGGGCAGGGTTTGCAGCCTCCCTGCTACTGGCTGGAGTGTCCAGCTGGCTGCAAGCCGCCCCCCGCCCCAACCTCCCAGCTCGCTGCAAACACCATCCTGGCCAGCTGCAAGCCCCACCTTCTCCCACTCCCATGGGATGTTCCACTGCCCCACCAGTCTGAGTTCACCAGCTGCACCTGGTGCTCTCCTCACCATCTGTGCTTCTCCACAACATGGCTGCCCCTGCCCCTGCCCCTGGCAGTGACAACCAGTGCCCTGAGCTCCTGCTGGCCACTGCTCTGGCCCTGCTGGTCTGCCACACTAACCACCGGCTTGCCCATGACTGTCTGGGCACTCCCAGATCCACCACACACAATGACCGCCTGCCCAGCCACTGCGTACTGTCCCAGGGCTGCTACCACTGCACACCTGACACCTGGACCCCATGCAGCTAGCCGGACCCCAGTAGGGTCATCCACAACATGCTGCTGGACACCATTGCTGTGGCCACCCTCCTAGGCCTCCAGCTCCACTGCCTCTGGGCCCACCAGGCCAGCTAGGACTGGTAGGTGCACATCATCCAGCACATCTGGGATGACAAGCAGTGGCTGAAGGCATTCAGGATGACCCGGGCCACCTTCCAGCATCTCTTGGAGCAGCCCTGGCCACACCTGGAGTGGCAGGACACTGGCATGTGGCCGTCCCTCCCCACAGACACCCACTTGGCCCTCACCCTGCTGAATATGGCCACACCCGCCATCTTGCAGTATGTCGGCCATCTCTTTGGAGTGGGCAAGGCCACTGCCAGGGTGGCCATCCTGGAGGTGTGTGGAGCCCTCCAGGATGTGCTGGGGAACATGATGCTCTGCGTGCATGACCCACTGTTGGTGGGGGTGGTGTGCCATGACCTGAGATTGTTCCAGTGCATCAGGGCCCTGGACAAGACTCACATCCCAGTCATCTGCCCACCTCATGGTGACGACCTACTACAGCTGGGGGGCTTTCACTCCATGGTGCTCCAGGCCATCATGGACCACCGCAGGGCCTTCATGCATGTGACTGCCATCTGGGCAGGCAGCACCCATGATGCCCACGTCTTCAGGGACTCCACCCTGACAGGCCTGATGCAGAGTGGCTGCTTCATGCTGGGAGTGCTGGACCTGCAGCTGGGCATCATGGTGGTCCTCCCCCTCCTCATCTGGGATCCCGCCTACCCGCTCCTGCCCTGATTTATACAGCCCTACACCAGCCATCTGAACCACCTCAAGGCCCACTTTAGCCAGTGCCTGGGCTGGACCCATGCCCTGGTGGAGTGCACCTTCAGCTGCCTCAAGGTATGCTGGCGCAGCCTCACCACCCACCTCAGGTTTGCCAAGGACAACTTCCCCTGTGTCATTGTTGCAGCCTGTGTGCTGCATAACATCTGCAAGGCCTGGGGGGAGCTCTTCTGCAAGGTTTGGGTGGAGGAGGCATGGTGGGCAGAGGGCGCCTGGAAGCAGAAGCACCACCTGCAGCAGCAGTGAAAGCAGCAGTGAAAGCAGCAGCCACCCCCCAGTTGAGATGCCAGGAGAGCCACACAATTGCCAGTGGGGGCCAGGGCACCGAGTGTGCCCCTCAGTCCACATAAATAGCTCTTCTTGCAGCACCCACAACACATGCAGCAGGGGCATGCTTACGGCACAGCGCTGGCGTGGGGTGGGGACTACCCTTGTGTGCCTCCACACAGAAGACCCCTTCAGGGAGGGTCAGGGTGCAGACAGCTCCTTATCCCAGTCATCTGGGAGACCCATGCCCTCTGGGCCTGGGTGCTGTGGGCTGGGCCTGCAGGAGGGGGAGGTAGTGGGATTTGGAGAAGCAGGGCGTACTTCCTTAGCTTCCCTGTGAGTATGTTGTGGGAGACCATATCAAAAGCCTTGCTAAAATAAAGGTATACCACATCCACTAGTCTCCCTGCATCCATAGAGATAGTCATCTCATCATAGAAGGCAATCAGGTTTGTCAGGTATGACTAACCCTTGCCCTTGGTGAATCCATGCCGACTGTTCCTAATCAGCTGCTTCTTCTCCAAGTGCTTAGAAATGGGTTCCTTGAGGAACTGCTCCATGATTTTTCTGGGGACTGAGGTGACAGTCTGTAGTTCCCTGGATCTTCTTTTTTCCCTTTATTAATTATGGGCACTATATTTGACCTTTTCCAATCATCTGGGACCTCTCCCAATCACCATGAGTTTTCAAAGATGATGGCCAGCAGCTCTGCAATCACATCAGCCAACTCCCTCAGCATCCTCAGGTGCATCCCATCCAGCCCCCAAGTTGTATATGTCCAGCTTTCCTAAATAGACCCCAACCTGTTCTTTCTCCACTGTTGGCTGCTCACCTCCTCTCCAAACTGTGCTGCTTGTTGGAGTAGTCTGGGAGCTGTCCTTGCACGTGAAGACTTGGGTGAAAGAGGCATTGAGTGTGAAAAGACTGAAGTGAAAAAGGCATCACAGCCTTTTCTGCATCCTCTGTCACTAGGTTGCCTTCTCCATTCCGTAAGGAACCCACACTTTCCCTGACCTTCCTCTGGTTGCTAGCATACTAGCTGCAACTCCAATTGCGCTTTGGCCTTCCCAACTTCATCCCTGCATGCCTGAGCAATACTCTTATACTCCTGCCTAGTTGTTTGTCCAAGTTTCAACTTTTTATAAGCCTCCTTTTTGTGATTTATTTTACTGAAGAGTTCCATGAAGATTTCAGCTTGTTGCCAGAGATCACAAGTTTCCAGCTTCCACCTTCCTGGGAGTCTATATCCTCTCCCTTCTCTAGCACTGCCTTTGCTGGTCCTTCCTGCCCAGTCCTAGAGGTCTTCTTCAATATTAAATCAATGGAGCCCTCATGGTGTAGGATGCCTCAGTCTTACCTACTCCTCCTGTACCTCTCTTGTCTGCTCCCTGAGGGACACCACCAGGAGGAACTCCTCACATCACAGGCACTCTCCCACCTGGCCATCACTGGAAGGAACCTGCAAGCTACCGTCTCCACAGCGCCAAACCTGGACCTGGGTGGAAGCCTTGACAGTGAGCAGTCCTCCCTCGACAGACACCTCACAGGTACAAGCAGAGGCAGTGGCTTTGGCATTGCAACATCCTATAGACATTTCCCTGGGTCTCTTAATCTGTTGCCTCTTTCTTCCTGCCCTTCTCTTGCTGCAGACCTTCCCTAGCAAACTTACCTGTAAGCTGGCCTGTACTGCTCCTTGCTCCTGAAAGGTTCCTTTTTCCCTGCTTCTTCTCACCAAGCTTAAAGGCTCCTCTCAAAGAGAGAGGCAGCGAACTGATCAACAAACTGCTGCCCCTGTTTGCTTGCTCCCTGGTCACTCAGGGAGTCTCCTTTTATACCCTGCTGGGCCTGCTGGGCTCCTCCCCATCGGTGGCACTTTTGTCAGGCACAGGCAGCAATCACCCAGCAGTCACTCACTACCAGCTTCTCAGAGCATACACTCAAAACACATGCAGCCCACCAAACAAACACTCAGCAAGCCAAACACACAGGCAGCTCTGGATCACTTACCTTCCCAGGATACAATCTGGTGTCTGGCTTCTCATCCTTTTCCCTTTCCTACCCTTGCTTGCTCCTTGCT